TATGAGAGTTTTCATCTTAGAAATAAACAGAAATAAAAAAAATTGTGATATTGTTAAATAATTGAAAATACACATTCAACATTTCTTACTGTTTCATTCTAAATACTGTTTGGAAAATAAAATATCAAAATATTTGAACATATTTTGTTCAAATATATATTTGAACAAAATAACAAAATATACACCTAACAGTACTTTTAATGGTGGGTAGAATATATATATATGCAAAATGCAAAATAACACACACACACACACACACACACACACACTGCGTGTATGTATACATACACGCAGTGTGTGTGTGTGTGTGTGTGTGTGTTATTTTGCATTTTTGGAATATTTAATTATAGAGCTACATTTAATATATTATATTTAATATATGTAGCCAATATGAGCACTTTGCATTGTGGGATGCAGTATTATGTTGTGTACTTGAATAGTAGGTTTTGTGGCCTATACTAAATACTGCAAAAACAATAAGATTAGTATGTTATTATGCTATTCTGAACATAGCTATTAATTTCAGCCTATAGATTTTTCATAAACTCAATTGTGATAAAAAAAAGCCCCAGAGATTCATATACACTCATATAAAACACAGAGAATTCATATCCAGGCCATCAATTTTAAAAAATAAGCTCATAAAAATCCAACAAAGTGCCACTTGATGATGGACAGAGTCATTAAATGTGACCCTTATCATTCTCTATGTCGCTCGACAGCCTTAACAGAGGAATATGATGACAGCAAAGCATTCTGGGATAGAACAATACCTGCTGAACTCTGTAGGTCATCAGCCCTTTCCCATCCATGGCATGAAAATGCTCCTTATAACAGCCATTTCTGCTGCTTCTTGTCTTCATTTCCTTTATTATTAAAAACAAGATACATTTACTTCAGAGGCAACATTATGTAAGATATTAAATCTTGTTTTAAGAGAATCCAGCTAGTATTAAGTGTATTGGTCTGACCTTATTGTTTTTTTTTAAGCATAATTGTCACAAAATGTAATGTTAATGCTTAAAACAACAACAAAAAAAAACATTTAGCCAATGAGTTTTGAAAATAAGATGAATATACTGTACTAGAAAACAAGACACTTTTTTTCAGTGCAATGACTTTGATCTATTCCTAAAGGGGGTGAGTATTGAATATGCCACTATTAAAAGCAGCCCAGAGAACCTTGTTTATAAAACCCTAATAGTTCCACTTTTCCTGCCCACTTGTTCTAGAATAGCTACCCAACACATCCCATTAAAGCCAGTGTGATACAGCCTGAGATGATCTAACTTCTATCCTCCGCTCTGTAAACATGAAAATGCGTGGTTTGCTCCTTTGGGAGAGCCAAAGGTAAGTGTAATAGTGCAGGATTTTAAACAGAACTCTAAACAGCACACGCATAAATCAATCACGCTGAGTTATTGTGCTGTCCGCTGTGTTGGTTAAAGATCCCTGCTCTCATCCTTCACCTGAGTTTTTCCTGCGTCCTACAAAACTCGACAAATAAATCAGGCACGCTGCTACCATTTGTGGGAAAGGATTGGCTTATGAAACCATAGGAATGAGATCACGACCCCCGGCGAAAGCCAAGGACGCTGTGAAGTAAGCGCTATGACGTATGCACATTTTTGCATACTTACTTGAGCCAATTCTTATGCTGTTTCAGTGATAACAGCAGCTGGCATGAGTATTTGTTTTCCTTTTCCTCTTGGATGAATGGCATCTTTTGCAGGCCTTGCATGAATGTGTTTTAGTAGAAAAAAAAAACTGTCAGCATAAAGGCAGTCAGTTGTAATTTGGCTGTCTTAGACAGATATAAAAAGAGCAATGCAGATAAAAATAAATAAATAAATAAATCGTTGTTATTTGCACACACTGTGCTGTCTTTGTTTTAGCACTTGATTCACGTAATTATGCAAATGAGTTAGCAATGAGTTTTGTGAATTTTGTGAATAAGGCTAAATCTAAAATAGGCCTAATAAACTTAGAACGGATACATGTTTATGCTGTAAAAATAATAATTAAATAATTAAAATGTGAAGCAGTGCTAGTTTAGTGCATTTAACGCTTGGTTGCACTGGATGATGGGTGGTTAGTGAATCAGATGCAGGTTTTTGTACTAAAATACCATGCATTTGAGGGAAATTATATAAATTCAACAATATTCAGGGAAAACCTGGAAATGTGAGAATGCCTGAAAAAGTCATGAAAATTAATAAAATCTTATATATGTATAACAATATAACATATAACATATGTAACACTATAATATATAAATATCTAATTTCTTTAATGAGCTTTTTTTTATCCAATACTTATGATCGAATGAAATTAAATGAATAAAATCAATAATTAAAAATATTTTATAATTTTGTACTTTGTGTATTTATTTATTTATTTAATTTTATATGTGCTTCGATAGAAATAGGTAAAAATCCTTATTTGATAATTATAATTAACTGTAAAAGTCATGGAAATTAATAATCATTTTCATATAAGATTTTTTTTCTACATGTGCTCAGCTAGAAATTGTTAAAAATCCTTATCCGATGATTGACTGGAGAAGTCATTAAAATTAACAATCTTATTTAAAATAAATAAATAAATAAAAGGAATTGAAATTTCTATCATTTTATGGACATTTTTCTACATGTGCTAGAAACTGTTAAACTCCTATCCGATAATTATGATTGGCAAAACTGGAAATCAACAAAATCTTAAACATTTTTAAATCTTTTAAATTTTCAATCTAATAATTTTCATATACTAAATGTTTCTTGCACAGCTAGAAATAGTAAAAAATTCCAATCCGATAATTATAATCAACTGGAAAAAGTAATCAAAATCTTTAAACATCACTGAATTTCTATTTTTATATTACAATTTTTACTAGACATTCTCAGCTAGAAATTTTTAAAAATCCTTAAATGGTAATCACAAACAACAGGAAATCTCACTTAAAAGCTCTGGTCAAAAACAGTGGGAACTCGGAATATTAAATCGGGTTGAGGGGGAACTCATCTGGGGTGTTGCGATAGCAGCCGGTTGAAGTCTTTCTCTCTATCTCCAGCTTTCCCCATCCAGGATGCTTCCTGAGAAGACTTGATAATGCACAGAAACCTCCCAGCCACCAGCATCTACATTCCCCCAAACTCCTGCTCTCTCAGTCAAACAGGAAGATAGGTACATCAAAGCCAACATTAGTGCACGCGGCCCACATGTGTGTGTGCGCTCGGGCCCATACTGTGTGACTGTATGGTTTGGTTTGCTAAGAGATAGAAAGTAAAGGCATGATTAAGTAGAAAGAAAGAAGAAAGGACAGTAGAGTGAGAGAGAGTGCGGGAGAGAGGACGAGCAGGGTACCATTAAATCCTGGTGCGGTAAGCAACCTTCTTCCTTTGAAAGCTTTGGTTGCATAAAGGCTGTAGCTCCGAGCAAGCCTCTTTATATGTTCCCTACCCGCCGCATACAGTCTACGCTGCATTCAGATGAAATATGAAAAGAGGAAATGCTTCCCTAAGACTTCCTGAGAAGACGCCCAAAATCCTTCCCCAGCTAAGGCACGCTTGGCCAAACAGCCTTATCTGCCAGTCTGGAGTCTCAGCATAAGTTCCTTGGTATTTTTTCTGCATTTTCATTTCTTGCCTTGATGGGGGGGTTTTTTTCCCCCAAGCCCCAGGAAGGAACTCAATGTAAAGTATTTTTATATAGCAAAACGTCCTTATAGTCTTAACTTATTTTTTAGTTAAGTATGTATTGAATTAGGGACAGAACTTCAGCGATGTTAAAAGTCGGTGCATTTTTAGCAACAGTGGCACATAGCCTCAAAAAGATCCAAAGTTTATTTGGATCCCCCTTTAGATGATGTACATATGTTTGGATCAGAAGCAAACATTCTATACAGCATCAATTTCATCATTTTGCACAGAGCATTTGAACGGAATCTCATAAAACAGTCTATGAAGTTTATGAAAAATTGATAAAGGCTGCCCAGTTATTGCTCATTTGTATTTATTGTTTTGCATTGTCAGTGCAAGCAAATAAATAGATAATGAAGCTGTGAGTACTATACTCTTAAGACGTGATCACATTAGTGAAATGTTGCTGGCTAAGAAGGTCCATTTGTCCATTATCAATAGTATAGCAATGAACAAAGCACCAATTATTCAGGTCACTGCCAAACTAAGCAGCTTTATATTGGTCAACGTTTAATTCAATGTGAAATTCAGGTGGGGAAATGATTCATTTTGCACAAAATTCCAGATAGCGTAGACTATTGAGATGACTGGATTTTCCCCATAGAAATTCGCCATGCAATGGTAAATGTGACCGCATCCTTATACTGTAGGTGGTGAAAAGCATTGTCAATCACGAGTCAACATATGTAAATCACAACTCAGTATGCAGATATTGCAATGACATCATCTCTGGTGGTTAGAATTTGATTGTGATAAATTCACAGCTCACTGGTATAATTAATTTGGATCAGTCAATCGCAGTTAAATATTTTTGTATAATGAACCTAAACTGGATATTTCATTGTTGACTACGACAACATATTGGCACTAATTTCAATTATCTCGTATCTGCGTCTATCAGCACAACTGAATAACATCTTGCAACTCAAAACAGTAACTATGACTACCGACTGTAATATAAATACCTTGGAGGACAGTAAACTTAAAGCAGAAGGCATGTTACGTTTTGGCTAAATGTGTTAAATTTAGCATTGTTCAAAAAAGAAATCCAGTCACCTCGTCAGGAATTCACAAAATTGTGAGTGCGAAAGATTTCCTCATGCAGATTTCACAACAGGTTCAAGTCAGTCACACGAATTCGACACATCGACCAACACTAAGCTGCTTGGCTTGAAAGTGACTTCTGTGTGAGCTATGCTTTATACATTACTACACTATTGACAATAGTCTTTTTTATCCACAAATTTTGCTGAAATTTCACTAAAGTGACTGCACATTTAAAAAATGTAAACTCCTGCAGTGTTCGCCTTGTTGTTTGGTTGAAGATTTGCTGGACCATTTTTTTTTTAGTGGTAGCTTTAAGCTAATCTACAAAGGTAATAAAACAACTTCAACTCAAAATCAATATTTCATGTCCATGTATTTATTTCTTTGGCAAGTTGCTGTGTAATGAGCAAGCTAATGAACAGCCAGATGGACATTAATGCTAAATAAACCCCTTAAGGGTTGGCTATACATTACCTTTACATTTTCTATTTGTCATGTAAGATTTTACAAATGTTATCTTAAATATAGTTTACGAACCAAAAAAGCATATAATTTTAGCCATAATGCTCAAAAGAAAGTCTATTAAGTCTATAAATGAGCATTGACTCAACTCTACACATGTTTACAGTCAAACGTAAAGTCTCTCAGCAGATGCTATTAATGCTAACAGCAGTAGCCTGTCTGAGAGACTTTGATTTGGACGTCTCTTTCGTTTACTCTGCTTCCGGATCTGGAAGCCAGATCCAGCCGGGGCTCAGACTACTCACTAAGGATTAGACTCTAGCCTGGGCTTTTGGATCGTTAGCCAATTAAACTAATCATGCCCATTCTCAAGACTTCTGGCGAGAAGGAGGGCATTGATTTCTTCTGGTTTGATGTGCACTTCCTCTTCACCCTTCTCCCTTACTGGCCATCTAGACGAGATCAGAACAAGCATCTGGTTAACCAATCAAAGCGAACAGGAGAATGACATGGTCACAACCTCACGTCTGCCAGGCATCTAACTCCTTACAGATCAGACAACCCCCCCCCCCCCCCCATCTACACAATAATGAAAGACCATTTTGCAAGGATTGGTCAGGGCTGCATATAACAGCTTATTTTTGTTGTTTATTTCATATGGCATCATGGGAAATGCTGGAGAGAATGGTATTGGATTTCGATGACTATGCACCTGGTCATTAGTCTCCATTCTACAGCTGAAAAAATTAAATGGCAAACTTAGTTAACAAAGTTACATCAGTTTATTCGGACTCAACTAGTACAGAAGAGTTGAATATATACAACATAATAAGTGTTCATCTGTTTACGTCAAGCCTGTGTAGTTAAGGTGCAGTCACATTTTTCTGTGAAATTTAACTCGCAAAAAAGGTCCATTGATGAACAGTGTTGGGGTTAATGCATTATAAGTAATGTGAGTTATGTAATCGGATTACTTTTTCTCAAGTAACTAGTAAAGAAACGCATTACTTTTTAATCTACAAAAAATATCTGAGTTACTTTTTCAAATAAGTAACGCCAGTTACTTTGTTTTCCTATTTATTGACTGACAGCTCTCCTGTCCCCATGTTGAAGAATGAGAATTCGGGAGTAAGTGCAGAGGTGTTGTGTGCGCTGTGTAAACATGCTGGTCACTGTAGTTATAGACTAAATGTGAACATGCATTTACTCATCTCACTTGCACAAAAACAGATTCAGTATTCCTCAAAATGAATACAAACTCAGAATACGATGCAAACCTGCAATAATTAAATGTTAAATATCTCTTATGCATTTAATCCCATTTTATTAACCAATGTCTTTACTGCTGACCTTCGATGATGGAGACGAGGGAGCAAAGAGCCAAGGTGGAGCTGATGGGTTGGAGGGCCGAGGTGGAGCCCGGGACTCGGAGGCTGGAGGCGGAGACAAAGGATCTTCATGTCTATGTGGAGCTGGTGACTGGAAGGCCTTAGGTGAATCTGCACAACAGGATGGAGCAGATTGAGTATGAGTTGAGGGACTGACAGGAACCAGCAGAGGCATGGCTGAGGAACTGGCAAGTTCTAGGAGAGGAGGTGGGAGAGGGAGGCTGGGCGGAACCAACGGAGACTCAATAGACATAGGAACTGGATAGCGATGAAGGAGATACAGAAACATTACCTCCTCGAACCAGTCTATTAAATCCACATTAAAAATGTCCTTAAGTTCCTCATAATAAGCTCCAGAGGCCAGACTCAACTCACTCACAGTGGTGGGAGTTTGGGCAGGGCTTCCCTCCAAGCCGTCAGTCTCCACAAACACTCCCTTGACAATCTACGATGTTGCCGGCTCACATACCTGGTCTGACTCATCGTGAGGCTCAGTCTCCAGGGCAATGGTCAGCTCAGTTTCTTCCTCTTGTGCTGACTAATGCATCGCGGCAAGCTTGGGCTCTCCGTCTGCGGTGGGCTCTGTCGTTGATGGAGTGGGGCTGGTGGCAAAGTCATCCTCCGCAGGGCCAATGGTGAAAGGAGAGTTGTTGTTCACCAGCACCCACTCCACAAAAGCGGCAAAATTCTCCCTAGGACCGTTCCCTGGGAGGCGTGCCTTGGACCGCTCGCTCAGGCTGGTGAGGAAGAAAATGCAAAGTGAATGGTCTAGGTAGTGAGTTTGGCATGCCAAATCCAAAAAGTCTTTTTTGTAATCCTCCAGGGAACAGTCTTCCTGTTCAAGGCAGAGGAGTTGGACGGCAGGCAGGTTCATTGGGGAAAAAAATTAATAAAACAAAAGAAAGAAAAATGCCTCTAAATAAATAAACTGTGTAGGTCGGTTCTTCTGTTATGGTCCGTGTAAGAAAGCTCACGAAGACGCAGATAAAAATAAATAGTCTTTAATAACAAAGATACTGGAGACAGGAATGACATGCCAATGTAAACGAGAATTGACAAACACTGTGGACTTATAAGCATGAACCAAACAAAGGAACTAATGAGGTAACTTACAAAAAAACAGGTGGACAGAATCAGCTAAATTAGAACACAGAAAATCTAGGTCAAACTAACAACATAATGGAAACACAAGACCGCCATGAGTTGACCGCCATCTTGGGAATTACATGTACAAAATTCTAAAATATTTTCTGTCAAGGGCATTCACAAATTAAAGATTCAGAATAATTCTCATTCAAACACATGTGACAATTCGGTGGCTAAGATGAAACTGCAGAGGTGTTTGATAGTGGTTTTGCTCAGTATGTGGCTCTCTCAGTGTTGTGGCTGAGAAAGACCAGATTGCTGGCACTTTCCTCTGTCATTCTGGCACACAATCTGCAGAGGTACAAGCTTCACCAACCACCAACACTGGCCAAGGGGGAGGGAGTGAGAGAAGTGAGAGAGATAGAGATTCCTTGAATTGAATTGATGCATGGATAAAAGATCAATAAGATGTGTTTAAGATGTGTTTAAAAAGCAGATTAGAATTTTGTGCCAACTTAATAAAATAAAATAGACAAAAAAATGCAATGTTTTTTTAACAATATCACCTCAAGTGGTCTTATATGAAATGAACGGTTAAAAAATATATAAAGTAAGAGGGCTTGGTGACATCATCTGAAAAGGAAAGTCATTTAAGTCACATTTGTTTTTCTTTCAGAATAACATATACCGATGAACTGTGCAAAATAGCGGACAAGCCTATGTTGATATACTGGTCTTTGTTGGTCCCCCATTCTGGTGAGGATGGTCTGTTGGCTGGTTTTAAAGGGGTTCTGGGCACTTTTCAGACCTGAGACCAGTTGAAGACCAGTTTAAACCAGTTCAGACCAACAGGAACAGAAATAATAACCTGACAGTGATATCACAATGTAAACTGGTTACAATAATACCAACCTGCAGGGAGAGAGAGAAAAAAATCATCTTAAACCAGCCTATGCTGGTTTTCTGGTCTTTGTTGGTCTCCAATCCTGGTCAGGCTGGCCTGTTAGCTGGTTTTAGAGAGGTTTTGGGCACTTCCAGATGGGAGAACAGTTGAAAACCATCTTGACTCATCTGGAAGACCAGTCTAAACCAGTTAAGACCACCAGGAGCAGACATTAAGGAAATTAATCAGATCAATTTTATACTGACTGTAATAACAAATAGTGTATAACAATAACAAATTTAAGTTAAAATGATACCAACCTGAAGAAAACAAAACATCTTAAACCAGTCTATGCTGGTTTACTGATCTTTGGTGGTCTCCCATCCTGGTCAGGCAGTTGGAGACCAGTGTAAGACCATCAACCAGTTTAGGCTGGTTTAAACAAGTCATTTGACTTTCATCCAGCTTTACCATAACATATTCCACCACATTTATTTTTACTCTTGAGCTCAGTTTTTGAAACATGTTCAATTTTTTTCGCCCAAACAACATCCTACTCTCACGAAAAACAGCAGTTGTACGGTGCAAACAAGTGTAACAGACTTTTAAATTGCACTCGTGATATTGTTCTGTCTTTGTTTCTCTCTTTGTGTAAAACAAAAAGAGCCACCAAAGTTACATGAATGAATTAAACACGATGCTCTCGTGCGCAGTGGAGGGAGAGACCGAGCTCCGAACGCCTTCAACACTGAACTCAGAGATTCAGCAGAGACGTGGATGCCATTGTGCTGGATGAGGCTTCGGTATGAATTATTTCACACAGGGCATCTGTTAAGAGGGCCACGTTTGGCTTCAACTGCCTCACAGTACTGTGTGTGTGTGTGTGTGTGTGTGTGAGCGTGTGTGTGAGCGTGTGCATGTGTGTATGAGACCACACTGACCCCTGCTGGTTAAACAAACACTCCATCAGTGCTTTTGACAGACAGACCGTTATTATATTAACCTCCACGGTCCATATTGATGTCTTGTTTATTATGAAAATGATCAGAATCAGAATCAGAATCAGAAAGAGCTTTATTGCCAAGTATGTTTGCACATACAAGGAATTTGTTATAGTGTCACAAACTTCCAGTACACTGAGACAACAACAACACACAGATAATAAAAGTGAGATGTGAATAAAATACACATGCATAAATATAAACCACAAAAAAAAAAAGAATAAATTGTATGTACAGGTGTGCTATAGATAAGAAGAGATATCAGGACTGAAACACACACACACACATTCTGAAATGATTGACGGTTTGGCATGAATAAATGTCTGTGGGAGACATTTGCTCAGGAACATGGGATGTGTGGGAGTGTTTCGATGTGTGGGAGTTAGGGGGAAGAGAGAAAGGAATGTGGCCATGATAAATTACAGATATGATGGCATTGAAACACATGCAACGCATCCTGGATATTATGTTCTTTATGTGTTGAGGGACATATGAGACAGGAAGTTAACTGCTTCTGTCCGTGAATCTAAACTGATTGATGTCTAGCAGTGTTGAATTCTGCTGGATTTGTGTCAGGCTCCGCCCACTGGTAGTGACGTCATGCTTATGTGTTCTTATCTGAGCTGTAATCAATGAGTTCAAATATACCAAGTGTAATAGTATTTCTGATGGAGATATACAATATGCACTCAATATGCACTCTATGTTAGCAATTCAGCAGTTTTTTTGTATATATCTTACATCTATATCTTTTCTTTGGGCTTCTGACACATTTTATTAATTATTTTCTCTTTCTAATTTTTCTCGTAATATTGACTACAATTGGAAATAGAATTTAGACTTTATATCTTCCAATTGCAGTTTATTTCTCACAAGCAATTTTTTTCTACTTTTTTCTGACAATTAAATATGTCAGACTTGATCATTTACATATTGAAATAGTGAATTTATATGAATCTAAATTATTTTTTAAGTAAAAAACCTATTTGCGACTATATAATTTATTTTAATTAGCAGCAATTGAAACTATCTAATCTTTTTTGGGGTTTCCATACGGGTTTTCAAAATATTTGTGACTTTATATAATTTATCGTAACTGTGACTTTATCCCAATGATGAATTTTTCTTATTGTGACTATAACAAAATTACTACCATATACTGTATATATATTTCTTTCTTCCTTTTTTTTTTTTTTTGTAGAAACAGGCTTCCATACAGGTTTCATTTGCAAAGATACTAGTGACTTTTTCAGTTAAACTCTGCGGACCCGTATACGGGTCCAAAATCGCGTAAAAATTGTTTATGCTTCATTTACACAGCCTTCCTTATATGGTATCAGCCCATATATGGGTTAATTTGAAAGCTTGGAGTGTCTTCTTTACAAAGAATACCATTCCTTTTGGTTTTTATATTCATAAAGCAGTAAAATTAAGCTTAGACATGTATTTGTCCCACACACGAATTTCCGCCTAACCATTGCGAATAATTTTTACGAAGAATGTGTATTTTATATATTTTTCACAAAAAAGTCAAGTCATATATCACAAGAAAGCTCTCATTCTCAGGAATTTGACGATGTAGATTATTTCATTGTGTGACAATCACAGATCGAATTATCATTCGATAGAATCACGATGTAAAATTTGGTCACCTCTGAGCGAATTTACATTTATACTCGTAGCACTGCTTCAGTCAGCCGCAAACAGCCACAAATATATATATACTCTATATTAAAGAAGCTGTTATTTGAAAGAATCTTTTTTCTGGTACTTTTTGGCATGTAGTGGCATCAAACAAAGTAAATTGCAGAGACCTGGGCCTAATAGAACCTGAATTACAGAATTTCGAAAAAATATATATTTTTTAAAACTCCAAAAGCGTTGAAATGTTTTTTTTGTGTTTATTGTAATATTTGAAAAATATATAATGTTATTTATAAAGAATTGCACTCATATTTTGTAGTTCAAATGTTTTTTTTTTACAATGAAACCATTTTTTTCATTTCCTCCATTGTATGTGTGTAGGGTAAACATTTGAATTTGAGTATGTAAAATTTAGGCGAAAATACCAAAAACGCCCCAGAGAATAAGTGGTAATTTATCGTAATTGTGACTTTTCACAACATTTCTATTTTCTACCTTTATATCTCACATTACAATATCTCGAATTTTAGAATTGATATCTTGAAATAATGACTTTTTATGTCACAACTGTAACTTTATATCTCACAATGTAACTGTTTCTTATTTGAAACTATCTCACAATTATTCAATTATTATTTTTCCATACAGGTTTCCATATGCAACTATACTTACAGCTTCATACAATTTATTGTATATAATTGACAAATACAACATTATATCTCAAAAATAAGAATTTATTAAATGGTGACTTCATATGTCATATGTGTTTTATTTTAAACTTTATCTCTCAAATATTTTTACATGAAAAAAAAAGCTTCCAGACAGGCTTACAACTGCAACTATACTTGCAAATTTATCTAATTTATCATACGGTACTTTATACCCTTCCAAATGCAACTTTTTCACAATTGCGATTTTTCCCCCCATATTTGTGACTTTATTTTAAGAGAGATAAATAACTTTTTTTAGATATAAAATCACAAGTGATAGTCATAATTGAGAGTTTCCACACAGTACATCTACTGTATCCAATTTCCTACAGATTTTTTTTTCCTACTGTGCTTATATGTGGCATGGGAACTGTGCTAGACAAATAACCATAACATAATGGCTCCATAATACCGTGAGGAGCCCACATGTAGGGTCAGGGTGTCCCGTACACCAGCGTGTGTCGTGAAATTAGCTTCATGTGTCAAAGCAAAGCAGTCATCGTGGCACTAACCGACTCACGTGGTGCAGGCAAACAGCATCCGAAAAGCAACATGGAAGGAAGGATCTGATTTCAGTGTTTACCTGCTATCCTCCAGTCCTTTCACCAAATGGAAGTCCAATTTTAAAGGCCGACTCTATTCATTTAAGAAAATATACTGTAGCCATTGAGTTAAGAGAGCAAGTGCTTGCACAGTCATGC